CGGTGTTGATATATAAATATATATATATATATATATATATATATATATATAATTAATATTATCTATAATTCTTTTCATTCATGTAATCATGATTATCAAGAGCATACAACTGCAACATCCTGCAAAATGATGCATTCACTCTTTGCTTCGTTCAGGAATGTGAAACGTTCGAAAAGTGCTGTGCCAATGTTTGCGGCAATCAGAGCTGTGTGGCGGCCCGCTACATCGATGCTACGGGCAAGAAAGGGCCCATGGGCATGCCAAAGGAGGCGTCCTGCGACAAGTTTATGTGCACTCAGCAGGGCTCCGAGTGTGAAATCTGGGACGGCCAGCCTGTGTGCAAGTGCCGCGACCGCTGCGAGAGAGAGCCCCACTTCACCTGCGCCTCGGACGGGATGACCTACTATAACAAGTGCTACATGGATGCGGAAGCGTGCTCAAAGGGCATCTCCTTATCGGTGGTGACGTGCCGCTTCCACCTCACCTGGCCTAACACTAGTCCTCTCCCGGCGGGCACTACCGCATTGCCCACCACCACGCTGCAGCGCACCACTCCTGAAGACGTGCACGCTCCTGTGATGGTGAACAGCCCATCTCAGCAATCCGTGTTCGTTGGCGACACGGCCAGCTTCCTTTGCGAAGTTGCAGGCCGACCAAAGCCCGAGATAACCTGGGAGAAGCAGATGGACGGGCAAGGAAACGTAATCTTGAAACCCAACCACGTGCATGGGAATGTTGTGGTCACCAACATCGGCCAGCTGGTTATCTACAACGCTCAATTGCATGATGCCGGTGTCTATACATGCGCGGCCACAAATGCTGGCGGATCCATCCGAGCACATTGTCCACTGTCCGTACTTGAGCAAGAGCAAGTCACAAAGTCGAACTCAACACGTTTCCCGGCAGAGGAGTGCTTTAAGGTGCCTGATAGTGAAGATTGTGGGGAGGAAAAGCTGAGTTGGTTTTACGACCCCCAGAGGAACAACTGCTACACCTTTAACTACGGCAACTGCAGCAAAAACCGCAATCGCTTTGACGCTTATGAGACCTGCATGTCGTCCTGTCGGGATGAACTCGCTGCTCCTTGTAACCTTCCCATCTACCAGGGATCTTGCAAGGCGTATGAACCTCGCTGGGCCTACAGCGGCTCCCAGCGCCGGTGCCAACTGTTCGTATACGGCGGCTGCAAAGGCAACGAGAACAACTTCAAAACCAAAGAATCGTGCGAGGACACGTGCCTGTTCTTGAGGAGCCATCGCTGCAAGCTGTGCAAGCCGCGGCACAAGATGGTGACCAGCTTCTGCAAAAGCGATTTCGTGATTCTGGGACGCATGACGGAGCTGACCGAGGACCAAGACTCGGGTCACGCTCTGATCACCATGGAGGAGATCCTGAAGGACGAGAAAATGGGGCTGAAATTTTTCAGGAATGAGCCCTTGGAGGTGACGTTGCAGAACATGGACTGGGCCTGTCCGTGTCCGAACATCACCACCCCCGATGGCCAGATCATCATCATGGGGGACGTCAGCAACGGTATGGCCATCCTGCAGCCCGACAGCTTCATCGTCCTTTCCAGCGCCCGGCGCGTCCGTAAGCTCCGCGAGGTCATCAACAAAAACACCTGTGACATTTTGAAAGAGTTCATCCAGTAGGACTTTTCCCATCATGTAAAGTAACAATTAAATAGTTGTTCTGATGTTCTAAGAATCGGTCTTTTATGTACAGCTTTTTGTACCCAGACTGTTTGCTTTGACGAGGTTAGATATGTTTCTACAGCTTGAATAGAAATGCTCTCATCAACTTGGAAGATTTTTTATAAGAGTTGCCCTTAAAGTTAAAGTAAAAGAACATTTGTGGACATAGGATGCATTAATCAAATCCATCTGCTTGCCCAAAAACCCCATTTTTATAAATTTAAGTACTGGAAATTAATTTTTGTAATGCTGTGTCATCTGATGATTTTGATAAATTAACTTTTTCTCTCTCTGCTTGTTTGAACTTTCATGGCGGAAGATTTGTTGTTGTTCCTAGTAATTAAATGACTGTTTTATTATAGAGTTAGATTCACTTAATGCACTTAGATAAGTTGTATAATATTGAACATAAGATCGATAGGAGAAATAATCTGTAGGAGAAATAATTTGTCTTTAAGGCTCACTTGTGTATAGAACTGAGTGTATATGATTTAGCACGGACTGCATTTAATTTTAAGCTATTTATTTTGATTTTTTCCCCCGTTTTTTAACCAAAAAGCTGTCTGTCAATTCTTACAAGCACTTACGTATTTCTACAGTTGTCTTTTTATTATCTTTCTAGTTCAGTGTCTGTCATGATTTGCATTGAGAAGTGACACAAAAATAAACATTTGAAACTCTAAGTCGAATTCTTTCACTTTTTCAAGTGCACAACACCAATTACGCAAGCATTTTCTTTGCCAAATGTTTGTAAGGAAATCTGCTTTCACAACACAAGCAGTGTTTAACCATTTGAGCTCATCTTCAGTGGAATTTTGGCTAGAACTTCTTTACCTGGTTTAAACTTGGTGTTTTTTTTTTTTTTTTAGTAAGGCAAGACACTACAGATGAATAGAGTAAAAAAATACTAATAGATGTCACCATACTTACACAGTTGATTGATTATATTAAGAATTGCACGTTTTTTTTAGTATTACAAGTTTTCCTGAAATGTTCTGTTTAAATATGCAAAATAATGCATTATCTAATTAAATATGCACCCGTTTTCTTAAAGTTACAGAAAATAAATCTGAACATTGGATAAAGCCAGGTTCAAAATTTTTATTTGACTTTGTTGACATATTGGAGTCAAAGGTTTTTACTGAGGGGATTTTGGATTTCTCTTTTTATCACTCCATAAATCAAAAAATAGTCAACAGACAGAAAAAATAAATTTTCGCCATATTTTCAGGAGTTAAATATGAACTATATACCAAGTGAATGAGATATAAACAAACCCCTCAGTAAAAACCTTCAGAATATAGATGGGAATAAAACTCTAAATGTTGGTGTATGTAAGTGCTGCTGAAGTGGAGGAAAAACTTTTTTTAGAAAACTGCCTTCAAAGATTTCAATTGAATCCACAGGCACAAATAGATAAAGTGCAATCAAACAAACACTAGGAAGAGCCAAATAGCCCGAAATTTCAAAACTGACCAGTGCATTACAAAACAATGTTTGTGTCTTTAGTGTCTTTCCTTAAATGATAACATTGGGTGAAATGAATGACCTCGTCCTCGCTGTTGCATACAAATACACATAGCGTTTGAGATGTTGTAGATGTTTGCCTCCAGTATGGATGGGGCCCCTTGGCTCATTCCAGCTCAGACGCAGGGCCATGCTGAGATACGTGGGGAGCTAGAAGATGAAGGACTGTTTGGATATCATGCTTTGACCATTTGGGACTTCCTCTAATGTCCTAACAGATGGTTTCCTTATAGTTTTTCAGGGTGGGCTTCAAAAGACGCCTGCCGCAGGCGGTGGAAAGCAAACCCGTGTGACCTTAAAGGCAGGGAGTGGCAAATATCAAAAGCGTTTTTTAGCTGCCAGACGTTTAGTAGACCGATCGAGTGGGCCGAAGGGAAAAATCGGTAGAATAATGTGGGAATCCATCCAGTTTGATGTCATTCGGAGTTACAGCACATGAGTAAAACTTGAATATGTTGATGAGAGTTTTTAAAGTCCTTCTGTTAGAAGAGAGAGATCGCGACGTGTCCTGGGATGCCCTGAAGTTTTCTATGTATAGTAATAACTTGCGATGGAGCAGGGAATACCTTCTCTCATCCAAAGTAAACATATTGGCTTCCCATAGTACTCTGAATGTTCCTGTTGTAAATATGGCAGCGTAGAAACGGCTCATTGTAGCTGCAAATCCTCCTGGCATCATAAAAGAAAATTTACGGCACAATTCAGATTAATGTGAACCTCACACACGCCTCTGATCTGCCAAGTGTGTGCTGAGTTATGAAACCTTGTTCAATGAATTTCACCTGGTGGTTACTGTTCCCTGGTTTCTGTTTCTTCGATCTGGCTCCACAGACTCGACGGACCCACAGCGACGTGTCCCCGTTTAACATCGAATCATAAAGCAGATGTTTGCCAAAGATAATTACATTAATATATAACAATCTAAATGAATAGCACTGGTTTCAATGAAAGTCAAATTTGGAGCCATAATTACAATTCAAATAATGTTGTTTACACACTGGGATATTATCCAAAAATGTTACCTCAAATAACACCGTGGAGTGTTTTCAGAAACACAGTGTGTAATTGTATGCATTTATTTACATGTTTGGCATTAGAAATTTTTGGCCAGAGAACAAAAAAGACACGACTGCCAGACTGTGTGGGGTTTGATATGCACAGCAGAGCTTATGTGTTTGTCCATTCAGTGATTTTTCAGGTGGTCTTTTCATATATAATAAGGTTTATTTTTATTTATTTATTTTTTTAATGCATGTTAATTTTTTCACAAATATTTTTTGAGACTCAATGATAACTGTTGATAGACCATTCAATGCAACCGACAGATCAATATCATGCTGAATTTATATTTTGCTTTTTAACCCTGTAAAGCCTGACATACAAAATAATATTCAGATATTTTTTAAATAAATTGAAGTTTATTAAACCTTTAGAAAAAGTATTGAAATAAAGAAATCCCCATGTGCTTTGTATCATATTTGATGCATCAGGCTTTTATGGCTCATATAGTCTGATAAAGTGAGAATATGAAGGAAAAAACAAAAAATATGCAATTTGCTGCAGATGCTGATATTTATATGATGAAATTCTGCTGCTTGCAATGTAAATCAATGAATCTTTCTAACAGTAGAGCAGATACTGACATAAAATGATCTAAATATCAGTCATCGCTCTATATCTCCAGTAACATGTCTCCAAACATATAATGCAGTGATTGAGAGCTGAAGAAATAAAGGCTCCTCAGAAGATGTGAGATGTTCTGGAGGCTTGTGAAGATCATTCCTCCGCTGAGGAACAGTGAAAGCAAAGCTTCTGGAAACAAACACTCCTCAAAAGATCCCGAGGATCAGATTTGAGACGCACTGATTTTTCTAAAAAATTATTCAAAGTTTTGATCATGGTGATCATTTAGAGGCTTTAGAAATTCATACAGTAAAGCTAAGATACAGTAGCTTTTTAGGGTTAAACTGTTATGTGTTCTTTAATAAACTGTAAAATCATATGACCCTCACAATTGTATCTACAGAATATTGCTTGCCCTGACAACATAGTATTTTACAAATATGTTTCATATTGAGTTGTATTCTTATGAATGTTCATTCAGCAAAAACTCTTTGCTCTGCTTTCACATGTGCTGCCACTAATGACTTTTTATTTACTAACAATTGCAAATGCGTTGGACTAATTGTTGTTATAGAAAGCTAAAACTAAATTGCTTCAGATAAAATAAATGTTAACTGAAAATAAAATAAAATATACAAAAACTTAAACTTATTTTATTTCAGCTATTTGCCAAGGCAACCTTTCTCATTTTCTTTAAAGTTGAAGTACTAAAATAATTTAAACTAAATAATTTAAAACTATTAGTAGCTAAAACTATAAAGACATATTTTAAAAAGACAAAAAGAGACAAAAACACAACAAAATTACTAAAACGTTAACTAAAATGAAAGTTAAAACAGACCATACAAAAAAAAAAAAAATCTAAAATATTAACAAAAGCTATAATATTATATCAACAGTTTGCCGATTATTCGGCACCGATAGGCGATTGCTGGAACTATCGGTTATCGGCAAAAATCCATGCCGATATTTTTCCCGGTTTGCCGCTGAGAAGATTTTGGCACGTGACACCGCGCAGAGCGGGACTCTTCAGATGCCGATTTAAAACACGAAACCGCAGGTAAACAGTACACTACAGGTCATGTTTTCATATCATCATAAAGTCATTCATTTGTTAACTAGATGCTGCATTCGTAGAGAAAGAACAGCAGTACGTTTGCTGTAAATGCTGAGAGGACGCGGACATTATTTGGTTAAAAACAGTGTGACAGAAACAAATGTTTCATGTCACGATTGTTAGCATCGATTTGCATCAGTTTATATCCAGCTCGTCAATTTAATGCATTCATTATCCAGCGAAGATGCAGATTTAAAGCTGTTCAAGTTTCGACAGAAACATAAACAAACCAGAAACGCGTCTGATTTCAGTTCTTTTTTTATCGTCACTGAAATACATATTTTATTTTGATTAACCATCAAGTGTTCTCAAATAGAAACAAATAGAGTATACATATAATATGCATATGTATATAATTCCAATGCCTTTGTGTAGGTAATCACAGACGGCCATATATATAAGCATGACTGTATGGATTTATATTAACTGGTGTCACAACCATGATGATGACAAACCTGAACTCAGGTCTAGGGTTAATAAATGCTGTAGAAGTATTGTTCATTGTTAGATTTTTAACATTGGCTAATTCATTTTTAAAGTATCTGTTATCGTTAGTTAATGCACTATGAACTATCATGAATGATCAAGGTATAATTAATAATTTAATATTTATTTATATTTAAAAAGTACTGTGCAATTTCATGGCTCAGTACAGTTTTTGTATGTTTCTAATGAAGTTAAGCACTATTTT